CCACATAAAGAACATTGCTTTTGAGCAGGATATGATTTTAATGTAGGTGGAACTTCTTCTGATCTTAGAATTGAAGATTCAACTGCTCTTTGTCGAATATGTTCTATATTTTCAACATGTCTTCTAGCTGATTCTTGCTGTTTTTGAGCTATTTTCTTCTGTAATTCTTCTTGATTTGCTAACTGTGCTGCATGAAGCGCTGATAACCGTTCTTCTCTATCTCTGGCTTTTTCTCTTGCTAATTCCTATAATAAATTATTTTCAATTTAATATCATATTAATTTATTAATCATTTATATTATATATAAATACCTGACGTTCTTTTTCTCTTTCCAATTGCATTTTACCAACTCTTTCATCGCGTTCGCGACGTGCTTGTTTCATTTTTTGAATACGTAATTGTCTTTCTGCTTCCAAAGCCCGTCTACGTTCTTCAGCAGCAGCTTCTTTAGCTGCTTTCTCTTCTTGTCGACGTTGGCGTTCTTCTTGAATTCCCTAGAAAATAATAAAATTTATTGTTACAGGAGAATTTATAATTTTTATTATTAAAAATGTATAAATACTCATAGTTACTTGTAATCTTTCTTCTTGTTCTTGACATAATGCCATAAAATCATGTCTCTTATTTTGTGCTTCAAGTTCATTAATAAATGCAATTTCCTTTAATTTAGAATCTTCATCATGAGCTTTTCGAACTATTTCCAATAAATGTTGTGTTCTATTTTCTTCTGCTTTTTTTAACTTCATTTCCATTCTAATTCTTTTATCTTCTATTAATTGGTTTTTTGCACTTTTAACATCTTTTACTTTATTTAATAATTCTCGCAATCTTTGCGACTTTTCCATTAATAATTTCTGACGTTTATGTTGTGCACAAGCTTGTTTCGCTTGATATCTTCGTAACGTTTCAGGTAATGATCTTTTTCGTGATGGAGATGATAATTTCTGGTGCAATTCTAAAGCTCTACCAGGATGACGAGCAACTAATGCACGTAACTGAGCAAGTGTATCTACGCATTCTGCCCAAGACATTCCTTCTAACATATTTTCATACCTATAAAAAATTCTTTTAAATTTAATATTATACAAAATAAAAAATAAATTAATAAAAATGCTACATACCTATCCTCTAAACTAACATCATCTGGCATTGTATTAGGAGATGTTCTTTGCTCATCTTCTGTTTCAAGTATCATTTCACCATCTGTTTCATCAGTTTCAGTATCAACATCAGTTTCAGTACACTCTAATTCTAAAATTTGTCTATGTAAAGAAGCTTCTTCATCTGATAATTGTTGTGATCGTTGCGAATCGGCTTCTTCAGTTTTTCTTTCTTCTTCTAAAATTATTCTCTCTCTTTCTGCTTGAGCAGTCATGAATTGTTGTATACGTTTTTCAAGTAATTCTGCATCACTTTTAAAAATAGCTGCTATCATTGATGTAGAATTTATTTCGTTTAAATTAACAGTATTCTTGAAAACTTCTTCTACCTTATCTTTAATAGTAAGATTTACAACTGATTCACCTTTGACTTTTTGTACCTCATTACATATATTTTTTCCTTCTTTCTCTACAATACATTTTTTTTTCTGTTTGTTATTTTTATCTGGAGTTAAACAATTTTTTTTATTCTTTTCAGAAGGACTTTCAATTGATAACGCTGGTAATGATGTTGCGGTACTTGGTTTGTGAAATCTTGTAGACATATTCAAGTTATGTGTACTACCTCTTCTACAACGACTACGAACCGTTTGCCAACCATCAGTTTCTTCTTTTGTTTTAATATATGTTTGTTTTGTTAATACTTCTACTGAACCATTTATATCTCTATTCTGATCTTTTTTTAATGAACTTTGTTCTGAAATCTAATAAATATTTATAATTATATATTATTTATTCAAATTTATTCAAATTAGTATTAATTACACCAAAAAAAAAAATAATACCTTATTGTCAATTGACTGAAATCGTTGTCTAACTATTACAGATGTTCCAGGTCTTATTTTATTTGAAATTAATGTATTTTTATCACTTAATGTTGTTTTACTTCTAACAAATTTTGGAGTTTCTGAGAGACTTGATTGCTTTGATTTAACTTTCATTTGCGATACCGTAGAATATGCTGGTTTATTTGTATTAATTGAACTCTTAATTGAATTACTGGAAGATGTATCAGATGTAGATTTTATTACATTTTTATTATTTGTATTATCATTCACATTTAATTGTCTTTTTAATTTTTGGCTAATTTTATTGGAAATTTTTGTAATATTTTGTATATTTTTATTTACTGTAGAATTACTATTTTCTTTTGTCACATTATTAGATTCTGTAATTTTATTTTCTGTTATTACATTTTCTATATCAATAGTTTTAATACTTTTTCCTGTGCTTTGTCTTTTAACTTTAGCATTGATTTCATTTTTTCCTAGTCCTAAGTCATTTTTAGGACCTAATGGTTTTATTTGAAAATTATTTTGAGAATTCAATTTATTTTCTATATTATTAGATTTAGAAAATTCTTTTTCTGTTGATGTACAAGTAATCAATTGTACATTCTTATCAGTACAAACTACTTGTTCATTCTTCTCAGATATTATATCAGAATCCGTTACTTTGATGGTAGTATAATACATTCCAGTTTTAACTGTTTTTGATGTACTTTTAGTATCCAATTTTCCTTTTACATCACGAGATGAACTTTCATTTGCTTTTTGGTCTGCAATAATGCTGTTATTTTTAGCAGTTGTGTGTTTTACAAAAGTTTTATTTATTTTTATTGAAGTTAATTTATCTTTATTTAATGACTGAATTGCTCCTTTATCGGTTGCATTTTTATATTTTTCATTCGTTATATTATTCTTGGAAATATTACTTTTATTATCTTTTATCAATTTATGCACAGATTCTCCTTTTACATTACAATTTACATGATTTATTTTATTGTCTACAGTAACAGATTTATTCTCTGAAATAATCTGATCAATAGGACTTCTACAAACTGATTCTGTAGGACTCATTCTTTGCAAAGGACTATTGGATTTTGGAATCATTGTTGAGTTCCAGATTCGACAAGGAGAAGTTTTTCTAACTTCCCAAGCTAAAGGAGTACGTCTTAAAGGAGGAGGTGAATTTTCATAAGCCCATTTAACTTTAAACCATTCAATTAAATTATGAAAATCTCTAGTATAATTCTCTAAAACTAATATTACTTCTTTGCATTCAGAAATATTTTCATCTTCTTCACATGTTTGATAAATACCATCTACTGCTCTTTGCAAATTACCAAATAAAAATGCCCAATATCTTGCCTGTAATTCTAATATAATTCTAATATAAAAAAAAGCAAAATAATTTAAAATTTTTAAAAAATAATGGTAATAAACATATTATAAAAGCAAAATATTTATAAAAAAAATAAGTAACATTTTTATTAAAAGTAAATATATAATTTATTAAATTTTTAATTTTAAAAATTTTAATTTACCAGATTTCTTATCTCGACCCGTGGAAGCTGATCTTACTCTAGTTGTTGGTTTCATAGATCTTTTAGAAGTATTTGCTTGTGATACTCTTGGAACACTAGGAGGTTTTTTGGTGATCTTCTCAGTATTATTTGTTCCAACTGGTACATTAAAAGCTATCAAATTTCTAGCTGCCCGACCTTCTTCTTGTATAAGTAATCTTACATCAGCCATTTTTAATCAAATTCTATAAGAAAATTATAATTAAATATTTAATTATTTACTCAATTACAGACATATATTTAAACATAATTTATATATATCAAAGTAAAACTAAAAGAACAGATTAAAAAGATGTTAAATATTAAAATTTTAATAATTCATTGATTTCATTAAGAATATTACAAATATATATTTTTCATATTAAATAAAAAATTTAAATTATGATAGTTTAAAAAAAATAAATTTTATGTACAACAACAAAATTTTAACTTATTTATAATAAATTGAGAATTTTGTTTTATTGTAATTTAAGGTTATATTATTATCATACATTCACATTTTAGATATCACAAAGAAACAAACAATTATTATTATATATAAATAGGTAAATAATTATATATTAATAATGTTACTAATATTAATTATTTATGATACAATTAATAAATATATTTGTATTTTTATAATCTATATACTATATATACTGCATAAGTATCAAATCATAATGATGTTATTTTTAATTCACTTACCTTTATTATAATTACAATTACAAAATATCAAAGAACGGTTGACTACAAATAGTTTTCAAATAACAAGAACTCCGAATTGACATTTCAATAATGATACAAGACATTTTATGATAAATATCTTCTAAGTTTCGCGGCAGTTTGTTGGTTGCACTGATATTGCTGCATTAAAAACTGCAATCGCGTTATTGAGTTATAAACATACTGACTAAAATAATATCATATTGCATTAATACTGTAAGATTTTATATTATTTTTCATTTTATTAATTATACATTTTAATAATTCAATCAAGAAAGTATATGTATTTTATTATTTATATATTTAGTATCTTGTACACTTATACTTTATAACTTTTTAATTGAATTTTTAAACAACTTTTATTATAATTTTTATCATAATTTTAGCTTTATATTTTTTTAAATAATATTATATAATATAATTTCTTAATTATAATAAAAATATAATAAAAATATTATATTATTTTGAATAATGTATAATATCTAGATAATAATTTTTTTGATTTTGCTAGAAATATGTCAAATTAATAAAAATTATAATTTAAAAAGAATAAATTTTATTAACTGATATTTTAAGAGAAATAATAAAATACAATAGAAAAATAGTTTCTTTTCAAAAATTTTGAATTCTTATTGGTAATCTTAGAAATATTGAAATAAAAACTACAATGAAAATAAAATTATCCAAACTTATAATAAAAAAAGTTTATAAATGTATATGAATTATTTAAATTTAAAAATTATTTTTTACGTTGACAATAAAAATGATATTTACAGACATTGTTAAATTGGTTTACGCAGTGAATTCGTATACAGCGCCATCAACGCGTGATAAGATGAATCGCGAGAAGCGGTTGCGAGGGCTGTAACTCACATTTACGTGTGAAAATTTAATTAACACTACGTTACAGTATCTCTTTGGGGTTGCAACATAGATCCCAAGCAGATTTTTGAAGTCGGCTATAAAGCCGATTATCACGAAACACGAAAGTGCTACGAAAATAAGATTAAAAATCGATTTCGAGGTTTCTAGAAGAAAAGGCTACCATAGAGGCGGACAATCTGCCACACTTTGCGGGGTGACGCGGGGATATTTTCAGATAATCGTACGTATTTTACTGCTATATGTAAATCACTCTTATTTCAGATTTTTTTATATAAGTGAGAAACTTTGTATACATTAATTTTACATAGTACGTGACTTCGTGCATGAATTCTTTGTTTACGCATATGCAGTAATGCTGCTTTCAATAGCTTTGGAGGTTGGCAGAAATATTTCGGCAAAAATTAAAATATTATTCTATTATTTGTTTTCTTAATAATTTATTTGGTTTCTTTATTAATAATACACAATAAATCATTCATTTAATTGTATATAATAATATAAAAATTACTTGTTTCGTTATACTTAGTGTAACAAACTGTCAATTTGCAGTAAATCAACATTAATTATTAGAATTATTAGAATTATGAGATATTTATATAATTTAAATTTTTGAAATTTAATTTTTATTTGTAATGTATATGATATTTACAGAAATAAAAAAAATTCTTTGATAACCTAAATTTTCTTATGTTAATCATGTTTAAACTATAGTATTATATTTATAAATATTTTATATTTTTCAATGTGTTTAACTAAAAATATTAATATATTTTTTTTTTTATATTTTTATATTTATAATAATTTTATATAGTTTTCATAATCATTATTTTAATAGATTATTTATATTTATGTCCATATGAATTATATATTAAAATATAAAATAATTTTATATATACATTTGATTAAGTAAGACATATTAAAGATTATTTTATTAATTTATATTATTTATTAGATATACTTGTATATCTGTATTAGTGTTATTAAATGTTTATTATATTTTTATTTATATTTTTATAGTAATTATTTATAAAATATAAAAATATTTGTATAAGTTACAAAATTATGTTATTTAAATATAAGTTTACAAAGTTTTTCAATATGGATAAGATAATTATGTTTCTAGTTTGAATATATTATTAATCAGGGAACAAATAAAAAGATGCATAAGAATTTCTTTTAGAGATATTTCATCAAATATGGCTGCGCTACCAAGGAGGATTATCAAAGAAACACAAAGATTAATGCAAGAACCAGTTCCTGGTATCAGTGCTGTGCCAGATGATACAAATGCTAGGTATTTTCATGTAATTGTAACTGGACCTGAAGATTCGCCATTTGAAGGTGGACTTTTTAAACTTGAATTGTTCCTACCAGAAGACTATCCAATGTCTGCTCCTAAAGTTAGATTCATTACAAAAATTTATCATCCAAATATAGACAGGTAATGTTGTAGTTATTATTTTTAAAAAATTAAGTTTTTTAAAAACAATAAATTAATTAAATTGATTCCTGCTATTAATGTAAATATTTTAATTATTATTAACTTGTAATATTAACTTCTAAACTATATTATCTTATATAATGTAATATGTGAAATAAGATAAATAAGATTGAAATTAAAAAAATACATGTTTTATATATTTATATTAAAATGTTAAAATTATTTATATTTGCTGTATAGATTGGGCAGGATTTGCTTGGATATCCTTAAAGACAAATGGAGTCCTGCTCTTCAAATCAGAACAGTTTTACTATCAATACAAGCACTACTAAGTGCACCAAATCCAGATGATCCTTTGGCAAATGATGTAGCTGAACTTTGGAAAGTAAATGAAAGCGAAGCAATACGTAATGCCAAAGAATGGACTCGGAGATATGCTATGGACAACTGATCTTAGATCATCCATGATGCAAAGTGATGTTACCCTTTTCTTTCCGAGTTTACCGATCACTTTACTCGCACCAGCTGCGTACCCTGCACCTGTGTCCACAATTTTGCTATAAAAATAATAAAAGTTTTGTAAGAGTAAACAGAATGAAACTGTATTTTCTATATTGCGGGGAATACAAAGATGTCGTGTTTAGATTTCTTCAACGGTTTGTGAAGCAGATTTGTCAAGAATCTTCTAACATTGAACAACATCAATTGTAAGAAGATTCCTATTTCAAAAAGAAAAAGGTATAATTTTAATGGATTACTAGTTTTTACTTAAAAATATACCTTTGTAGTAAAAATAAGTGAATGTAGTATGTTGCGTCAACATTTTTTTTAAATATTATTACAGAATGGCTTGTGCAATCAGTAATTTATAGCCTTTATTTTGGTACCTTTAATGTATCCCTGAAAAAAAGCAGTTCTAGATCGCTCATTATATTATACTAATATTACATTTTTCTGTACTTTACGGAATGTTTCCGAATTGGTAATACAAGATGGAAATGAATCTATATGAAAAAATAAATTGAAAATACGGAATAAAATTTTTTTGTATGAAGCTTTATTTTCAAATAAATTAATGTAAAAATTTATATAAATATACATAACTTATGTCTAAAAGATATATTGATTAAAAAATATCATATTCTTTTTGTTATTTGATTAAATAATTAAAGAAATAAACATTGAAATATAATTATCTTTTAATCAAAAAATTTTTTATGAATGTAAAAATTAACATGGTATTAAGTTATCATAAACATTATATTATTTTGATATTTTTACGAATGAAAATGCAGAATTTTCATTATGCATTTATAATATATTTAAATACAAACGTATTCAACATACGATTTTATTTATCTTTAAATTTAAGTATTTTCAGTATTGAAGCTCTGTATAAAAAAAATATTATTCTAAATTTCCGAATTTTTTTTTCATTTCGATTCCTTTTTTGACTTGTATCACCATATATAATATATCGGAAATACTCTGTATTATGTCTACTAACTGGTTGTCTGATAATCTTAATGTATTTATCATTTCCGCGAGTGTACGACGTTGGATGAAAGATATTATGATATTGAATTAGAGATCGACATGGCATTTATTTATGTATTAACTATGAATTAACTACTTCATATATGTATATATATATTATAATATAATATATATATATGTATGTAATAAGCGTACAAACATATTGAAGTTATCCATGAATGCGAAGTTCCATTTTTGAAGTATATAACTATAACTATTGTAATAATTATCTATTGCAGATTTTTATTTATCAATATAATGTAAGACAATGTTTTGAATATTCATAAAAACTTCTAATAATTTGATCTGAAAATTCTTAATTGACAAGGTATTTTGATATTCACATTTCGATTTATATTATTATTATTCAAAATGAAAATATAATTTCGAATAAAAGTTGAATGATTTCGAGTATGATCAATGATTATTAATTTTTTTATAACGATAGATATGTAATCTGTAAAGGTCAACTTTCTTTTTTTAAATGGAATATTATGCTTTTTGTTGTGTTAATAAATGCAACTTGTCATTCCATATAAAAAATTACTAAATATCTTATAGTAAAAAAGATTGTTAGTTTTGAAATTATTTTATTTTAAAATTTATCATAATATAAATTTAATTAAAATTAAAATTAAATAAGTTCCTTATTTAAAAAGTAAAACTATTAATTAATTTTATATTTTAAAAAATTAAAAATAATTTATAATAATAATTTTTGACATAATTTTTTTTATAGAGAATATCAAAAATTAAAAAATATATGATTTTTGATGATGAGTTAGAAAAATGAAATTGTCTTTTATAGAATTTTTACCTGTTCATCTACAAAATTATCATATATACTTCTCAAAATCACTTAACTTTTATATGAAACATTTCTCGTTACGAATAATAATAATGACATAAATCAAAATAATAATATCAAATGAGATATCCTATATATAAAAATCATCTTTCCTATGATTATGTTAATCTATATTTTTACTGTGTAAATATACATACGTATGTATAATTAAACGAGTGAAAACTTTTAGATAGTTTTTTCACTTTTTTTTTAAATTCTTTTGGAGATATAACATATATAAGTAAGATATAACAAGAATAGAGACTAAAAATGAAGTCTTATTTTGCGCAATTTATATTTAACAAATTGAAAATAATTTGAGTAAAATAATAATGTGAAATTAACTACTTTTGATAATATATAAAATTTTAGTTTGAATACAGAATATTTAAAATTGCGAACAAATAGAAGTGCCCATTCTTACCTAGTGTATATTTTGTAAAGATATTCTAATCATACTAATGTAATTAGAAGGTATAATTTTATTTATAATAATTATACCATTACATTGGAAATGAAATAGGCTACTTGCTTTCAACAAATGCCTAATTGTTGTTAAGCTTTGCTACATTTTATAATTTTTTGCTTAGAAGAAGTATAAAAAACTGGAAAATACCAGTAAAAATTTTTTGTAAAAATCTGCGCAATATTTTTGATGATATTTAAATATAAATATAATGAAAGGAGATAGTAACATAAAAAAAAATTAAAATTTCTTGTTGCTGATTAATTAAAGTACTCTATTACATTTAATCCAGTTTTTCTTATATTTTTAGATATGATTAATATTATTTTAGATAATATACTTGACAGATTTTTTTCACTCATTCAATGAATGAGGATTATAAAATTTTAATTGAGAATCATTTTTGAATGATATGAATGAAGACTAATAAATAGTCTCCTTTTTTCTTTTATCATGTAAAAAATGAATGATAACTCAAATTATTATCTTGATGAACACTGAAATAATTAATTTTTAATGTATATTAAAGTTTCTTTAATATTTATTTGTTCTATGAAAAATTTAACAATTAAATAAAAATAAATTTAACATTTAATAGCAAAAATAAAAACACATTTTCTTTCATATATTAATTCAGAAAGATAGATATAACTTCATAATTAGGATTTTATATTTAATAATCAATTTTTTGATTCCATTTTTAAAAACTTTCGTTGTAATTGATTATTACTTTATTTTAGGATGTATGAATAGTTTTCAATATTTTTAAACTGCTTAAACAATGGCGTTTCTTTTAAATAATAAATAGAAAGAAAAATTCTATTATTACTATTCCGTTATACTTCTTCATATTGCAAATGTTTTAGTTGTAGTCGTTTTACTAAACAAAAAAAAAAATTTAATAAATGAAATAAAATAAGAAACGAAATGGACAATATTCAAAATTTATTCATATTCGCATTCCTATAAACATTCAATTTGGTAACATAAATAATTTAATAATTAATAATTTCAATAGATTATTACTTTTTTAGTAAAAAATAGTAATAAAACAGCATAGAGCATGCAATTAAATATATTTATTTCAAAAAATGTATAAATAATATGAAAAATTGACAAAATTAAATTATTTATTGGAATAAATAAAAATTATTTATTATTTAATAATTTGGAACATAACATCTTTTGTGCATTTATAAACATTAATAAATCAATATATAAAGGATTAAAATATTGTTCTCATTTAATTTTATATTGATTGAAATTATTAATAAATCTTTAATTTATATTAAATAATTTGAACAACCAGTTGGTACGTACATATATTTTTACATTAATTAATTCACAAATTTAAATTCATCTATTACCTTACTAATATTTTAATAAAAATGGAATAACAATGATATTTAATTTAGACATGCTAAATGGACACTGGGATCGGTTACGCGAAAAGAAATTATATGTGTAGATAATTTGCAATAATAAAGAAGTTATTACAAATGTGTTATAAAGCAATATTAACATATACCAATATATTGCTGCCAAATTTTTAAATGTACATATAATTATTTTAGAATCATAAAAGAAAAAAAACAATTAAATAAAAGTAATAAATTTCAAATTAAAATTTTTCTAATTAGTATATAAATTAATTAAAAATGGAAAAGATAAATACTAACTAGATATGATTCATTCAAATCTGAATAAAATTTAAAATTATTAATAAAACAATTTGCTTATACAAAATAAATCCTTGATATTCTAAACATTTTAAAAAAAAATTATAATTTTAAAAAAATGTTAATTTGTTAATTTTAAAAAAATAAACAAATTGATAATAATATTGATATTAAAAAAATAAATAAAATTATAGTTTATATATTACGAATTGTTACTTTAGGAACAAAAAATAAATATGTGTAATTCAATCAAATCCGAAATTTATTAAAATTGAAGTGAAAACCTTAATTTATTTAAATATATTATTTTCATATATATAATATATATGATTGTATAGAAAAGAAATACGATTTATTAATATTTATTTAGTAAATTACGATTTATTTTAACATTTATTTATATGTATTTTATAAATCTAATTTTAGAATATAAAAAAAGAATAATAATCAAATATTTAAATTATTTTAGAAAAAAAAATTTAATTAAAAAGATAACTTTATAAAAAACAAAATAAATCTAATATTTATAAAATTTTTGTAATTTAGGGAGTTCTATATCTTATGCGTTAATATTAATATTTATATTTAGTAATAATTATTTAGATGTTTTACATCATTACTAATACATTACACAGATAATCAAATATATATTATAGTTTTTTGTCTCGTGTATTAGGTCGCACCATATGAAGTTGCTAATTTTAGAATAAGTGACAATCAACTGCGACTTGTAAACTCTACTTAACCTATATTTTACTTATCATATTTTAACGTTGTTTTCTCATATTTCTTTTGTGTAATAAGTTCTTTTTTGTATTAGTTTAATTGTTTTTTGAGAAGTGAACAATATGGTGTTATCGAATGAATTTAGAATGTTATTTCTGTATGAATTTAATCTCGATCATAGTGTAGCTGAAGCATATCGAAATAGGTTAATTTTCGGAAAAGATTCTACCAATGAGATCATTCGATGATAGTTTCAAAAATTCAGATTTGGAAATGAGAATCTTAAAAATAAGCCTCGAGAGCGAAATTCAACAAAGATTTATTAAATTTAAACAAAGATAAATTAAAAGCTAAGATGAAATATTCGCAGAATTAGATCTCCAATATCAATTTTCAGATATTTAAGTGCAATGGGCAAAGTGAAAAAAATTGGAAAAATGCGTACCGCACTGATAGAAAATCAAAAACGATGTTTGGTAATTTTTATCACAAAATTTGAAAGTAGAAATCTATTTTTGAATAGAATTACAATCTATGATGAAAAATAGATACTATACGATAATCGACAATGATCATCGAAAAAAGTTATATAATCTATAAAAAGAATAATT